CAACTGTTCATAACAAAACTTAGCTTACACTCTTCGTCTTAGTACATTGATAGAAAATAAATGTCAACCTTGCAGATCTAGTGTTACCAAGTATATAGAGCTGGGGAGAAGGTCGCTAGCTAAAACCAGTAAAGTTTGCTGCAAGTCGAGCCCATAGCGATAACCATGACGGTAAGTAGTCGGAAATGGAAGAAGTTCCCTTAATAAGCCTATTCCAGGAAGTGGGAGCATCTTGCAATATAAACCTCAGGTAACACTATTGTTTATAGGAGGGGGCTAGGTGGTTATTTAGATATACTTACCTTTTTTTAAACCAAATTTCCTAAAATTGAAACTACGTAATGTCGGTTAGATTTGTGTTAACGTCCGTAACACGGGCGGCAAACAAACTGTAAAACAGATGGTGGAACATTTCAAAGCCAGAATACTGTTTGCTGTGTTTATACATTGTTTGGTTATCGAAATGATGTGCCAAAAACCACGTACTGCTCTGTATATAAAGAAATCATTATATTTCATGGACACGTTGAGACAGACCCACTAATATCTGGTGACTGTGATCTCAGCATTGGCTAAGCTACAGTCAGATCAATATATTATTTATTGTAAACCTATTGTTTGTGTTTTGGAAGCCTCCTAACTTCTCACGCAGTTTAAATATAAAAAACATAAACAGAACAGGTTGTCAAGAGAATGTTTGTCAGTCTGGTAACCGTTCCTATGGTAACTAGAAAACCACACCCACCAAGGACCTTGAATGGTTTTTAACATTGTACCGAGGTCCCTATTGACAATACCTGGAGATCTATTCCTGGTTATATCGCAGCCGGTGGCACAGTGAAGGCCAAGTTTGCAGTGATCACCCTGCCCCTTGGTACAGCTATGAAAGTACTGCAGCAATCTGCAGGTCCATCACGTGTACTATTTGGGGATATTAATGCTAATATTAGTATTAGTGAGACCGGGAATGTTTGAAAAAAAGGCCTAAAACGTGGCAAGATTCCGCAGACACGTCCTGAACTGCCTGTCACCCGGGGGGACCCAACACATGGTCAGGGTCAAATCTCAAACACAATGCAGAAAAACATGCTAACTCCAAACATGCTCCAAGTCAATTCTAAACAGACTATTAAAAGACTCTCAAAAGGGGAGATTTACTAAAGTTCAGGATGTGCAGCAAGCACACCAACACCCAATAATATCATTGATGATTGATCACGATGCTATGATAAATCTCCACTGCCCTCTATGGGACAGGAAACCTGAATGAATCTTCCTGTTTCAACACGTATTGTTAGTTAATATATTTGAAATCCGGAAACATGCAGAATCTGAACTTTTATGCGTTTTTTTTAGTGAAGTAATTTGTAATGTACGAAGTTATCAAAGAAACACTTGCTATCTTGCGGCCATTATAACAAAATATTTTTTTTTAGATTTTCTTGTACTGTGAAAAAATAAAAAATTACTTTTTTGATACTGGGAGAAATAGACCTCCTTAAAGCTGCAGTTATAATACACTGTGTGCGGGGAGG